TTCTAGCCAACTCTTGCTATTGAAGAACCCCTGCCGGTTTTCGGCGGGTGCAAGATTGGTAAAATAATATGCGCCGTAAAGGAGGCACAAATGAAGAGGGACACAACAATTCGAAGAACGTATTGTTGAACGCACTTGGACAGCTCCCGCGGCTTCATTCAATCGCCCCACTCCGTGAGCCCAACGGGCCTTGCCGTCTCCGTAGTCACCATTGACTCGATGTTGTCAGATAGAACGAGTTCCTCGAACGACTTTCTCTGCTATACTCAATATCCCAGTCGAATATTGCTGTAGGTCGACCCACCGCAGCTCACCACATCTTGTCGGGTAGTTTCTCAATGTGTCCGAAACGCTCACTGACGGGTACGGTTCGGGAGAAGTCCTACTCACTCTAACATGCACAACTCCGTTAACGTGAGAGACCACTGGTTCTGCGCCATAACAATATAAAAGTAAATAAACTCCTACAGAGTTTCATGTGACCACAACTTGGTAATATGAGTGACGTAAAGAAGTATTTTAAACCCAGAGAGACTTTCCTTTACCACCTCTGTATGAACCTAAATATAATGAATCTCCACAAACAGTTGATTATTTTCATAGTGCAAACGCTGTTTTTCACATCTATTTGCCTTTGTATTTAGTAATAAATTCACAAAGAAGGTGGCACCTTCAAAACCCCTTGCCCCCACTCTGGTTAGCTTCATATATCTCACAGTGATCCTTGCTCTTTCTGTAACTTTCATTTTTAGCCAACTTAAGCAACTCTATTTCTTCTGTTTTAACGAAACACATCCATCCAATTTGAGACGTTGAGATGTGAATATATGCTCCGTCCGGTTTAGATTTGAAAGCCAAAGAGTAGTAGGAGCCAATGTCCTATTTTGTTCGGTTTGAAATTCCAGTCCAGAGCACCAGTGAAGGAAGCAGAGCTACGAGATCTACTCCTCGACGCCAAAACCGCTGACAGTCGCAACAACGACAAGTCACATCGTCATCACTCACTCTAACTGCAGAGATATAATCAAAGACCCTGAAAAATATTCTACCAAAATTTGGGCCATCCAAAGCATCCGTGGCTTCCCAAGAGATCTTGAGCGGGCTGGCCATAGGAATATTATCTCATGGACATCCGGCCATTAAGAGATCCAAGGGAACGAGAGGGCGCACCTGCAGCACGGGAGTACAGAAGTCCAACTGCCGAAGTCTGCGGCTCGCTTTTTTCGAAACTTGTAACGGTTATTAACACCCACAAAATACCTAGACTTCCAGCAAACTTTCCAAATTGGTAAATAAACAATGTAGGGCCATATTCCGAAACCTACTACATTATGAGCCAGACCCAATACCTTACGGCGACGGCCACTGGTCTCTTTTCAAATATCGGACAAGCAGCGCGGTCACTCCCGAAAGTCGGGCGGTCTTCAACGGCACCCGGCCGATGAGGTGGGTGTGAGGTTCACGAACTCCGATTCAACTTCGGAGCCAGAGCGTGTGAATATGACGCATATATTGTGGGAGTGTATACTGCGTTGCCAATCAAGCGTGAGCGCGCATTTAATTGCCTCAAAGAACTCAAGCCGACTTCCTTAAAGGGCAACTCCACTCAAAAAGTCGACCCTATCGAAATGACTGATATCGCTTTAGGAGGTCAAAATACGGTCATACCCAAAATATTACGTCAAACCGACGCCGCGTTATCGATTAAAACCAATATTAAAAATGTTCTCCCGGCTCGGTTAGCGGCCCGAAAGCGGGTGAGCAACGCTGGCACCGGGTGAGCTAGTGAAGCAACACTGGGCAATGACGTAGTTCTAGTCCTACGCTCTCGTACGGACGCCGCGAGCGCTTCGTTTCCCGTGGCATTCTGCGATTCTGCTGACGGCACGAGGTGTTTACCACATTATTTTGTGTTTCCCTATTTTTATTAGCCTCCAGGCAGTTCTTTTAACTCCAGCATTGCTTCCGCGACAGCGCGGAAGAGAGCGAAGCGGTGCCACTCGCTCACGCGCGCGTCGTGGAGCCGGAGAGACTCGCCGTACTCGCGTTGGGCAATGTCGAGCAGGATTTGTAGTGGCCTGGGTTGCACCAAAAACCCGGTGCGCAACCCGGAGCTGCGGTTCCACCAGTTCCCAAGAGACCGTAAGAGGCACAAGGTGTGGGTCGGTGCCGTTCGCCGGATAGACTTCGGAAGACCGTTGACTCTGAGCTCCAACGCGAAGAAGCTCTGCTCCCAGCACTTTACGTCAGACACCTACACACGGGATCTGCGGCTGCTGACTGTTGCGGGTTTCTCCACGAAACATGCGTCTTTGAAGAATGATGCGGTGCCGTCGCTGTTCGCGTACCGTCCGCCGGCTGCTCCAGCGCGATCGGCCGGACGCAGCAGGTCGCGGCTGATCTAACTAGCGTGCACATAAAGGCACCTTAGCTTAGCAACTTAGACCACTTGTGGATAGATCTGTCCATCTATCTCCCGTTATTTCGCTTTCTCTCGGTCCGCGAGCAAAAAACAAATACAGTCACGCTGCGCCGGCCCCGACCGCGTCATATTTATAGCAGTCGGATTCGCTTTTCGGCCGGCAAATTTATAAATACACACTATAACTTACTACATTTGGTGCATATTAACAAAGTGAAGAGGTAAAAAAAGAAAATGTGCATCTAACCTTCTGTTTTGAAACTCCACGTGCGATTGAGCCGACCTTGTCGGCGCGTCGGCTGAGAAGCGCAGGACCAGAACTAGGTCATGCCGACGACGCGCCACAAGAATCAGTGTTGCCAAGCTGCTTCAACCGGTAGTTTCGGTTTCGCCGTGCCGCGGGAACGATACTTGGATTCGCGATATCTACAAAACTATACACACCACCGAAAAACAAATTATATCTCGTGATTCAGGGCGGCCGGCTTCGACTAAACAGATCATAACCCAAAAATTGTAAAAATGGAGTGGAGTTGCCCTTTAAGAGAGTGATTCATCCTCGTGGCTCTCCGGAACACCGGAAAAGAAAACTGGACCGTTTGCTTGAATACATCAAAGTTGCAGGTCTCAAGCGGTGCATATAAACCACATTTGTTCGAAGCTTATCGATAATCTAACTTTTTTATTGGCTCCTACGCACATAATACCGCCAACAACAACATTTATCCCAAAACTTTTGATTTAATGCTTAGTAGCAAGACTGACACTGTATTTGTTTTACTATAAACATATTTTCACTCATTTATTAATTGAGACGGAACAACCTTTCTTATCTAGATTGTCACCTGGATATAACAGATAGGCTAGCAAGCCATTTTGTATAAACTGAAGCCGATCGGACGCCGAGAGATTGCACAGAAACCTGGGCTTCGCAAATAAATTTGCAGTCCTAGCTGTTAATGTTTAGTAGCGCAGGAATGTTTTGTGAGCTAGAATGAGAGCTATTCAAAACAACTAAACGAAAAAGTTTACTTAGGCAAATTATTAGGGCATAAAATTATGGAGGTGCAGTGTGAGAACAATGTACATAAATAGCGATGCCTCGAAAAAGTTGGGTTTGATTTTAAAACTAAATTTAAATACATAGACAGGGTGTCAGCAAAAAAAAATTACAGGGTTTTTGTTACTACAAAAATAAGCTAGGCATCGCCGAACGCTGACTCTCCGCCCAAAAGTAGCCCTTGAGGTCACAACCAGATGCCAAAATTTTCAGCCCCATCCGATACCTTATTCAAAAGTTATAAGTGATTTTCTGAAAGTTCAATGGAAAAATGGCGGCCAACGGAGTTTTCGAACACATGGGGCTCCATGGCGCCAGAAACCGAAAACCGACAAAAATGGGCTTCATTTTGTCATTGAACTTTTCAGAAAATCACTTATAACTTTTGAATAAGGTATCGGATCGGGCTGAAACTTTGGCATCTGATTGTGACCTCAGAGCTACTTTTGGGCGGAGAATGAGCGTTCGGCGATGCCGAGTTTATTTTTGCTGTAAAACAAAAAAAAACAAAAAAAGAAACCTGTACATTGTTTTTTGCGACATCCTGTAGACGTGGAAAAAAAAAACCTTTGTGTTGTGAAAAGTTTCTATCAGCTTTGGTAATTCACCATACTCAGGCTCATATATGCACTGGTAAAGATAAGGATCTGTGAGCTCGTGATACTTCTCATATTAGTGATATTACCGCGCTTTGGCCTGACGAAACTGCAGGATATTTGTTATTTTATATTGAACTTGCTCTTTTTGGCAGGTGATTGTAGAGAGAGAAATAAATATGGGTGTGAGGTAACAAGCAACACAGTTTTTGCAAGGAGCGAAATTATGCATGCGAGCTGGTTAGGAAACATGATAATATAAAAATGTCGGAGAAATTTGACTGTGTCACAAAAGCGCTCAGCTAAAGTATCCTGGAGATGCTCCCATAATTTCGAGGTTGATACAAAATATCCTGGAAGCATTATCAGGTGCTACATTCATAATAACATCCGCGCAAGGGCAACAACACATAATGTTATTATGATGCTTCACCAACTCACCCAAGCTGCCATCATCCCATGCTACATTCAAACTGGAGGAAATCGCGGAGCTGGCAAGCAATCAGATGTTAACTTACCATCTGGCAAATGGGGTTTTCCTACACAACGCAAAACTCTACACCCACAAATAGGGGGTTATTGTGATTGTAAAATACTGCTCTGGGTGTAGCAGGTGATCAACAACATTGAAATGACAATTTCGCAGGTTAAGTAACGTTCATTTTTAGGCAAATACATGGAAGGGCTTGCTTCGTGGTGTCCTATATTGTGTTTCCGAAAATTACATATGCGGCCTTATGCAGTGGAGCATTTGTTTTTAATTTGAGGAACAGAGATGTGACATAGCAACACATGAATTGTAAACAAGATTTTCACGGCAATAAAGACAAATAAGTATGTGGATCATGGGTTTATTGACCTCTGTGAATACAGGGGTGAGTGCCTTCCGCTGTCGAGAGGAAATGTTCTCTGGACTCGGCATTTACAGGTCCGAGTGTACAGCTACAGCTTCAATTTGCACGTGGGCATTCTGGAAAGGAATTAAAATACTTTTAGTTACGCGGGAAATATAGAAAAAAAGAGGTAAATACTGTGCAAGTTTGCGACATTCCACAACGTCCAATGCCTTTCTCGCGCGCCGCGGTGGATAAGGATGCCTATGATCAGACTTGCTCGCCTTACATAAAAAAAAAAATGATGAATTGCAATTAGACGCTGCTGAGCGTTAAATGTGATTGATTACTTTTCCTAATTACTTTTGTAAAAATAATCTTTTACTTTACTCGGTAGTTTTTAAATTATTTACCAGTTAGGTCTCTTCTATTCTTCTCAAGAAATAAAGGAGCTAAAATTCGAGAGCGAGGGAGAAAGCAAATAATCCTAGATTTACAAATAGACTGTGTTTTCTCGATTGGTATTGCAATACTACTTCCATATTCGTTGTTACCTCAAGAGAAAAGTATGTTTTGCGCCTTCTTCATGCGCCGCGCGAAGTAGATCTTACAGCATTTGGTTGTTGGAGGAAAGATGATACTTTTGGCGTTTGAAACGTCTATGTCATGATACGATAACATATATTTAATCTAAAATGCACGTACATACATCTTAATGCTCCTTATAAAGGAGAAATTAGTAATGCTCCGCGAGTAGCCAGAATGTTGTTTTTTTTCTATCTACGGTGTTTGAGGGAAAGGCGACAATAACTTCCCACTTCGCACTTCATGCAGCGGGTGACCCCAACGATAAATAATAAAAGCGCTACATTTGATTGCCTTTATTGCGTGTAGTATTAAAAGGTGACTGGGTGCGAAAGCGCGAATTGGGCTTGAGGTCACGCTGGTGTTCGTGCTTATCAAAACATTTTTTATTGATTTTAAACCAGACATTTCGCATGCTTCTATGTTCACTCACTGTGCACTACCTCACCTCTCTCTCGGATTCAGTCATTATATAACGCAATCGTTCCACAACTCCTTGATATATCTGCAGCTGTTACAATGTACCGTCGCCATTTGGATGATCTTACATTTGTCTCTTAAGTGTATGTGTGTTTAGCATCTTTATTTATTTGCTGGTTTTATTGTTTGTGTTGGTGCACCAAGTGGAAGACCGATGTGGTTGTTTTGGGGCATCCAAAATAAAGATTATTTTTATTACTAATATTGTTATTACATTTGTATTATACTGCTCCTGAAACTTCTGGCACCTTCTTCGGCAGGGTATTGAAAAAAATGCTCGAGAAAAAGTGTAGTGCAAGGATTCACAAACATTTTCAAGCGTACCATGTCAAAATCAGGCCGGGAGTTTGTGTTCAAATTTTTAATTTTGACCAGAAATATTTCAATTTTTTGAGAACATTATTGGAATAAAAGAAAGCAAAAATAACGAGCTTGGCGGGCTTTTTTTTTTGCTTTGACCCCAAGTTATTGATTATTGAAGTGGCAAAGGAGAACGAAAACAGACGTTTCTCCCACCCATTGAGAATCGCTTGTTTGACTCTCGTTACTTGGTCAATTCTTAAACTTTTGCACTAGGACTATTCTGTGTAACTCTCAAAATAAATTATATTTTACCAAGATATATTTAAAATCTTGTATTCAAATATAATTAAAAAATGGTCGAACTATTTCTATTTTATGGTGTTTGGCAAAGTTTGGCAAATTCTTGCGTGCTATCTTTTTAAGACAGTTTAATGACCTTGATATTAGCAGAACACTAAACATAGCGATTTTCATTGTACGCAAGTGCGATATTATATGCACTAAAAATGCAACTTGTTATTTACGCCTGAATGCGCAAATGTCTTGACATATTAGCAAGTTTGAAACTACTTTTCTTAGGAAAGTTGTATTTACTTTATGTTTTATACCAAGGTGTGATTATGGCTTACTAAAGATATAAAGGGAAAATCTAATTTTTTATGTGTTTGGCCGCAATTTAAGCTTGACTTTCAGCTCTGCGTTGTGACTGCTTTTTCACTTGGGTGCTACTGTGACTAACATTTTGGCATGAATATGGTGAATAACATGACATTAAAGCTTAACATGTAAGTTTAAAAATAATTTAAATTTGTCATAATGCGGAGTAAAACTTACTTTGGTCCGCAACATAGCTTGCCCTTTACAACCCCCATTTGATGATATTCAAGCTTTATATCCGGCCATATCATGAAAATACTATACTTTAGGTTTGTATTTTTGAAAGATTTCTTCTTCCTTACCTTACCTTACCTTCTGATAATAAAAATAAAAACGAATATAAATTAAGTTTTAGAAAATAAATTTACATATTTTAGTTTTAGGGACATCGCGCATCTAAATACAATAAAATATTTCTATTTGTATATTTAATAATGAATTTGCACGCACAAAAAGTTACGTTTAATATTTGTGTTTATATCCAGATCCTTAAAATATTTTAAATTGGTTACATGTAAGAACTGGCCAAACTTTGCCACAAATCATCAAGAAAAATTGCTCGACATTTTTTTTTAATATCTATTTTAAGACACAATACTTTTAACATGCAATGACGGGAGATTTTCGTACTCACGATAGCATGACTAATTTCTTTCGCGTCCTTGTTTTGTCCAGACTGGAGTTTTAATCAATCACATGGAACACCATTTGATTGTCATAATCATATATTTTAGAAAAAGGGCAGTGTCGTCTCGTACGTATTGTTTATGACAGATCGGTTGAGAGGTGTCTCTATTTTGATTATGAATACCTACTTAATCTGCGTGATCTTGTAACCTTGGTGGACAGAAGATTATCGTGAGACTTTGTATTTTAGAGCGCATCTCTTAGGTCCCCGTTTCCGGCTTTAGCGGCGATGCCGTCGCCGGCGCCGTAAACGTCGGTGTAACTGCGCGTGGCATTATGGGACGTTTTCTATAATGACGTCACACGTGATTTTACGTTTGACGTCACGAGGGTCACGAGTGAGGAGGAGGAGGGAGAAGGAGGAAGGAGGAAGTGAAAAGAAGGATAGGAGGAGGAGGAGGCAAGGAGAGGAGGAAGAGGCGAGGAGGAGAAGAGGAGGAAGAGAAGACAAGGAGGGGGGAGGATTTCCACGCTAATTTTAGCAGGGAATGTTTTCTGCTAAATTTAGCGGGAAATTTAGCAAAAAGTTTCCGCTAAATGAGAGGGGAGCAAGAGTGGCAAGAGTACGATGGGGGAGGAGGACCTTCCCCTCCCCTCTGTATCCTCCCCTCCATAGCCTCCCCTCCTCCTCCTCAAGAGCAGCGTTCTAATTTGGCATTACAAAGAATTGTAAACGTCTCATTTTTTATTAGAATGGCAATCTGGGCTAGTTGGTTCATGGTAACTTTCAGGGCGCCGAAAATACACAAGGACAAGATACAAGAAAGGAGACGTGAACAAGGCGCACCCGCAACTAGCGTTTATGAAAAAAACACTCTCTTATATACTCATGGCAAACAACACAGTCATACTACACAGTCATACTACGTCCGGTGTAGCCCCCTCCGTAGAAAAGTGTTCTCTTTTGCCGATAGTGACATAGACGTGTCACTAATACAGTCTTTGCCTTTTTCTTTTATTTCGAAGGCCTCGTGCAGCTCCCTCGATATCCGATCGGCGTATCTGGCCAAAAACCTTGTGTCACTAAATGACGGTGTGCAGGAGCAACGGCTGCAGTGCGTGGCGAGGTGTCCCGACGGGGTAGCCCGTGTAGCCGCAGCATGTTCGCGGGCGCGATCATTAAAGCATCTGCCCGTTTGGCCAATGTACGATGATCCGCATGACATGGGGATTTCGTATATGAAGCCCGTGGCACATTCCGTGTACCTGTTGCGGTGCTTCGTATTGCAAGGATCTGCTGACTCACGGGGATTGTTGATTCTGCGACACAGTCTCGATAGTTTGTTTGGTGCGGAGAACACAATAGGCACATCGTACCTATCAGCAACCTTTTTAAGATTGTGGGTTAGTGAGTGTACATAGGGGATTACCACCGGCCTCACTGCTGCTCTTTCACGAGGCTGCCTCCGTGTACCTTTAAACTTTTTTTTATTAGGGTGTCCGCTACATCCACCAGAACTCTCTGCGGGTAGCCCGCTTTTTGCAACCTCGCTGCCTGTCTCGTGAAGCTCGCTTGAGCGGTGTGTGCACATGATCTTCTTAGTGACGCCTCGAGACAACTAGATGCAATTCCTCTTTTTACAATTTTCGAATGGGCCGAGCTGAACGGAAGGATACCCTTCTTAGAGCGTGGCTCATATGTCCAGCATATGTGGTTTTCTTCAAGACTTAGCCTAAGGTCCAAGAACTGTATATGCCCGTTCACTGGCTCTTCATGCGTGAACGACAACCCATCCCCGCATGACCTAAATATGTCAAGCACTTCTTCAACCCCGCAGCTCGGTGCGTCAGCGGGTCTGCCGAGGACAAGAAAGTCGTCCACATATCTGAAGATGCGACACCGGTTCGCGTCTCCCAACCTCTCGGCAATCTTTCTTCCGCACACACTTAAAAAAAAATATTGGACAGTATCGGCGCAACACAAGACCCGATGCCTATTCCCCTCTTCTGCACATACATCTCTCCCTCAAAAGGGACAAACATGCTCTCTAAGTAAAATGCCAAAAGTTCCAAAAAATGATCAACGGAAATGCCACAAGAGGCTTGGAACGGTAGAACACCGTTTCGTTCAATGCACCCTCTGACAGACTCAAACAGGGGCCTGTGCTCAATCGAATAAAACAGATCTACAACGTCGATCGAAAAAGCGCTGCGCATGCCGTGTTCTTCATCACTCAGGTATTCGATAATGCAGTCTGAATTTCGCGCAAAAAACGGATCATGCAATTCCAGCAAGGTCAGATACTTGCTAAGGTAGCTGGCAACATGAGCCTGCCATGACCCCCTCTCCGTGACAATAGCACAATAGCCTGAAGGGGATATCTGTCTTGTGCGTTTTCGCGGTGAAGAAAATGTCAAGTTGAAGGTTCTTACTGGACTTGGCATTCTTTAGCAGTCCCGTTAGTTCCAATGCACCACACATTTCAATGGCGCGGGATTTCACATTGGCTAGTGGGCCTGGTCTCACTCGTTTGAAGTTCTTCTGGATGGCTTCCTTTGCTTTGGTTTTGTAGAAGGCTTCAGGCAGGACCACGAAGCCTCTTTCTTTGTCCGAAGTGAGGAGCTTGAGGTTTTGCTCCAAAAAGTGGTCGACGATGGTATTGGTCTTGAACTTCCTAGTCGTTTTGCCCTCCAGGCGTTGCAGGACATCCACGTCATCGGCTACACACCTTTCTCTGTCTTCAGGTTTGGCTTTGTCTCCCATCCATCTTATCAGCGACAGCTTTAAAACGGGATTCATGCACGGTTCCTGGCTGTACTTCGGCCCTTTATCCAAGCAGTCCTTGATTTGCTTTGGCAGTGTTACGTCTCCAAGCACAGTTACCTCCTGCTGCCCACCTTCGTTGCGTCTGGTATTTATGTTGCCAGCTACCTTAGCAAGTATCTGACCTAGCTGGAATTGCATGATCCGTTTTTTGCGCGAAATTCAGACTGCATTATCGAATACCTGAGTGATGAAGAACACGGCATGCGCAGCGCTTTTTCGATCGACGTTGTAGATCTGTTTTATTCGATTGAGCACAAGCCCCTGTTTGAGTCTGTCAGAGAGTGCATTGAACGAAACGGTGTTCTACCGTTCCAAGCCTCTTGTGGCATTTCCGTTGATCATTTTTTGGAACTTTTGGCATTTTACCTAGAGAGCATGTTTGTCCCTTTTGAGGGAGAGATGTATGTGCAGAAGAGGGGAATATGCATCGGGTCTTGTGTTGCGCCGATACTGTCCAATATTTTTTTTTAAGTGTGTGCGGAAGAAAGATTGTCGAGAGGTTGGGCAACGCGAACCGGTGTCGCATCTTCAGATATGTGGACGACTTTCTTGTCCTCGGCAGACCCGCTGACGCACCGAGCTGCGGGGTTGAAGAAGTGCTTGATATATTTAGGTCATGCGGGGATGGGTTGTCGTTCACGCATGAAGAGCCAGTGAACGGGCATATACAGTTCTTGGACCTTAGGCTAAGTCTTGAAGAAAATCACATATGGTGGACATATGAGCCACGCTCTAAGAAGGGTATCCTTCCGTTCAGCTCGGCCCATTCGAAACTTGTAAAAAGAGGAATTGCATCTAGCTGTCTCGAGGCGTCACTAAGATTATCATGTGCACACACCGCTCAAGCGAGCTTCACGAGACAGGCAGCGAGGTTGCAAAAAGCGGGCTACCCGCAGAGAGTTCTGGTGGATGTAGCGGACACCCTAATAAAAAAGTTTAAAGGTACACGGAGGCAGCCCCGTGAAAGAGCAGCAGTGAGGCCGGTGGTAATCCCCTATGTACACTCACTAACCCACAATCTTAAAAAGGTTGCTGATAGGTACGATGTGCCTATTGTGTTCTCCGCACCAAACAAACTATCGAGACTGTGTCGCAGAATCAACAATCCCCGTGAGTCAGCAGATCCTCGCAATACGAAGCACCGCAACCGGTACACGGAATGTGCCACGGGCGTCATATACGAAATCCCCATGTCATGCGGATCATCGTACATTGGCCAAACGGGCAGATGCTTTAATGATCGCGCCCGCGAACATGCTGCGGCTACACGGGCTACCCCGTCGGGACACCTCGCCACGCACTGCAGCCGTTGCTCCTGCACACCGTCATTTAGTGACACAAGGTTTTTGCCCAGATATGCCGATCGGATATCGAGGGAGCTGCACGAGGCCTTCGAAATAAAAGAAAAAGGCAAGGACTGCGTTAGTGACACGTCTGTGTCACTGTCGGCAAAAGCGCACACTTTTCTACGAAGGGGGCTACACCGGACGTAGTATGACTCTGAAGAATGACTGTGTTGTTTGCCATGAGTATATAAGAGAGTGGTTTTTTCATAAACGCTAGTTGCGAGTGCGCCTTGTTCACGTCTCCTTTCTTGTATCTTGTCCTTGTGTATTTTCGGCACCCTGAAAGTTGTCTCATTTTTTGTATAGGATAGGATGTATAGGATGCCTGAGGCTCCTTTATAAAAATGATAGGAGTGATTTACACTTGTTTTCTCCCCTCACAGTTTCTCAATGAGCCTTGTTGGCCACTTGCCAGAAAGCTGCCGTCTGTTGTTTTTATGTAGTTTTGTTTATTTAAATTTACCTTTCCAAAATTACGTTCTGTTTGTTTGTTTGTATATGTTGTTTTACTGATTGTAATATGTGCACACTATGAAGGCCTCACGCTGCATCTGGGGACATTAAGCAGAACACACTCAAATTCAAATATTGAATAGACAGTTAACTTCTGTGTCACTGCAAAACTTCACCTTTCTTCAAAAAGTATATTAGGGGTAAGAGAGACCTACTCCTGAATTTAAAGAGTGGCCGGGTAATGACTGCAAAATTAACAGCCATGTTGCAGCAGTAACGAATTCTCGGTCTTTAAAGGATATGCACAAAACGCTTTTGCCTAGATTGGGTAGCCACAAAAACGAACACCTTTTCTTGGCTAATTTTACCCATATTGTTTTCAGGTAGTCGACTAATGTGCGTCTTTAAGACCTTTTAGAGCTGTATTTCTTTAACTCACCGAGGGTAACTTTACCACCTGGAGCGCTGAGCGTGCAGGGAACTTTTCAGGAAAATCTGAAAACAAAACATGTTGTTTATCAGGTGGTTCCATATTTTTTTTTCTTATAACACTAACGCAAAAACATCAGGCAGGAGAGAAACATGACAAAATCACTTACATTCGAGATATATTTTGTTCATCTCATCGTAGTTATTCCAGTTGGTCAGGTATACTGTGGTTTTGGCAACTGATGTGAAAAAAGTATCACAGAAATAATGCTCATTAATCATAAATAGTAACGTTTAAAAAAAATTTAGATATATAAAAATAAATTTGTGTCTCGGTAATGCCTATTGCAAAGCTCATAAGATGCTATAAGAATATCTACCCACTGCACAATATTTTATTGTGGCCAAGTATTGTTTAAACCTCTTGCTTCACGCTTTAGATAATTCTTAAAGCCGTGCTTCTGAGGAACTTTGTGTGAGAACTGAAGATTCATGAAAGGAGCAAGCAGATCTAATTTTTTTTTTGTTGTTAGACGTTGCATCAGGGCAATAGAAAAACCCTTTGATAATAAAAAACGACTCTGTTGCTACACTGAATTGCTGATAACTGTGGTCGTAAACGAAAAATCAAGTGTAAGCTACATACCATGCTGCATGGTCATTCGGCCTGCTTGGACGAGGCGCCGCATATCATTCAGAACCTAAAAATTTTACCAAGGGCATAATTTATCTTAGGTTTTTTAAAGTTATAACCACAATAAAACCCATTAAACCATGGACATGATCTCAATATTAAAAAGAAAATGTTCACCAAAATTCATGTTGTTTTTCATTTAAAGTGTTTTGATGTGACGCTAAAACCAATTATGTTTCATTAAATGAGCATGTGATTTTAGTTGTATTTATAAATAACACCCACTATCTACCTTGCTCAATATTTTTTTTTCTAGGGAGGTTGTTCAAAAAGGATCTTAGATCCTTCTGGTTCAGTCATGTGCGAATGATTTTGCTCATGAAGATCTTGACATTTTTTGCAACTATGATAATTTTATGAGGCAGCTGAATGATATGCTTATCTATTTTTTGCAGTTCACTTTTACTTCGCTTGCGTCTATATATATATATACGATGTGTTTCAGCGAAGAGTGTCAAAAACGCCTACTATTAGTGTATTCGAGGTAAAAATATAATTTTCTCGGGACCGCGTAATGGTGGACTTTAAAAAAGTGCGGAATACTTACTAATTGGATTATAATTAACTAAAATTATTAATTAACTTTTAAGTAGTGAAAATAGACATTATGGTTCCAATTAGAAACTTGCAGAGCGTCATCGAAAGCAATTAAACCAGTAATTTTCAGAAAGACTTTGAGCGCATGAGAAGCATAGTACTGCTCTAAATTTTCAACTCATGGAGCAGGTACATGGCAAGCGGTTGCGTTAAGGCGCCCGCGCCATTTTTCCGTCTCTTTTTAGAGCCCCAGCCTTGTACCTGCTCCACGAGTGGTAACTTTAGAGCACTACTATGCTTCTCACGCGCTCAAAGTCTTTCTGAAAATTCCTGCATTAGTGGTTTTTAATGACGATACGCAAGTTTCTAAATGAAAAAAATGTATACTTTCGAAAATTAAAAAGTTAATTAGTCATTTTAGTTAATTAGCGAAAATATGAGTCAGTATCACGCGATTTCTGACTTTCACCACCACGAGTAATCCGGTCCCGAGAAAAATATCCCTTTACATCGAATGCACTAAGTTTAGGAGTTTTGTCACTCTTACGTGAAACACCCTGTATATATATATTATTAACAGTAGTGGGTAAAAGGTTTACAGATGTTCCGAGAAATATAGGAGTACGAGGGAGTGTGCACAGACGCAGCAGTTGAATGATGAAAAACATAAAAGAAAGGTTTATTTGATAATAAGAGTGAGTAGGAAGAAAGTAAAGCACGGGGAAAGGTGGACAAGTAAAATGCTAAAATTATATTCTACAGTTTTTGTATGCATTGAAATAAAAATTACAAAAAAATGAGCCCATTCAAATGAATATATAAAAGAAGTAAAACACGTTTACACACAAGACATTAGTGCAACAAATTAGTGAAAAATAAAAAAGGGGATTCGCGGGCTGTCGTCGACGTTTCGGCAGTGGCACTGCCGAAGATGGACGCTGAACTGGCGTGGTGACGGTGTACGTCACTCCCGCAACTCAGAACTAGCATGGGCCTTAAATCATCAACGGCTGCCGTCTACGCAATGAGCGAATAAGAAAATAACAGCACATAAAGATTTGGTCAAAAACCTGTGACCGCGATGATCTAACGCAATAACGAAAAAAAAAAAAGAATACCGGGATGGTCTCATTGATTAAGGCGTTGCACCGGGTAGGGAAGGTTGAGGGTTGGAACCCCGCTCCTGGCCCAATTTTTCTCCTCTCTTTCCCTTTCCCTTCCCTTAAGTTTATTGCACAAAATTCAATAATCGCTCTCCCCTTTTCGTTCACAATGTTACTACCGCTGCACTCGTCATTCTTACCTCACTCCCTATGTAAATATCATTATGAAAGTGCATTTTATATATTTCTTTGTGTTTTACAATTTATTACCTTGTGCTACATTAAAGGCATTGTCATTTATGGGCTCACAAATAAAGACATGATGATGATGATAATCAAAGATACTCGAAACCCATAAATGCAGCTTTTGCAAATCTCGGAAAAGCAGGTGCTTTTGTTACGTTAATTAAAATATTTTGATAATAATATAATTACACGAAGGGTGTTTTAAAATTCGCATGTAATATGATATTTTGCTAGTGCGAAAATTATTTTCGCACATCCAAATGTAATTTTGTGTTGAATAAATTTGGTATGCCCTGTAACCTCCCCCCCTACCCCACGCCCGGCAATAAAAAAAAGAAAAAGAAAAAAAGGAGTGACATTTGCAGTGTAATCTGTGACTTGTTTACCTCACTGCGAACTATTTACAATTCGTTTTCAAAGCTTGTGCTTTTGTGCGGCTTTTGCGGAACTCATTTACATATTTTTTTGCTTTTTTACGCCCCCCCCCCCCCCCCTTTGCTGATACTAAACCATAATAGTTCTACACATATAATACGTAGTGCCGGGAGGCAGTACCACGATGAGGCGATGACTGTGAAGTTGAATAACAGTAAACTGCACATATCTGTACCATCAAGGAAATGAAATATTGCTTGCACCTATTAAGCGGACGATATTACGTTGGCTTTTATTAAATTGCAAACTGCAGGTTGTACCTGAGACTCGCTGCATGCATGGAACCACGGTAATTTAATAGTTCTTAATGTTTTCATATTATTAACGTGATACTTGCCTCACGTATTTCATCGGCGAATGCCATGTTGGCAGGATTGTTGGCGTGCAGGCCAGACACGTACATGGTGTCCCCCACACGGACGGCAGCACTGTTGACGAAGCAATCACGTTAGTTGAAGAAATATAAGAAGCATGAATTTGATAAAACGTCATCGGCTCCCTGAGCCAACAAAAATGATTATTTTTATTATAGTATCTTAGCTTTACCAACTAAACCTCTCATCATCGAATAATGCTTCCAAGAAGCGTGAATAGTTTATGATATGAAGCATTTTCATTTTTGCGATTTCTGAACGCTGGTGGATTGCGTTTTCTGAAACCAAAGTTGTAGTTTTTTTGTTTGTTTTTTAGCTCTGCATGGCGTAAGTAGATCACAGAGTTACTGAAGTGGGATCCAACCGAAGAGAAAAACACTTTATTCTTTTACATAGTGATGCGGGTTACTGCTTTAAGCACCTGAAATCCGATTTCGGTCACCGCAAGAGCGAGAGTTAACTTGTCTTTCGAGGAGCGAGCGAAGATAGCGTTCGCCGTCGGTTCCTCTGCTCGCGCGAGCGGATTACGCGGTTCGTCTGCTAAGAAGAACCGTTTATAGATGGATATAAAAAGGAAAACACCGTACGTCCTTTGATAAACGACCTAAAAAAAAAAAAACAGGTTCATCATCTGCTGCGAATTGAGCGCAGGGACATATCAAGACCGGAAGCAGTCTACAATTGTGATCGTCTGCTTCGTTTGCCAATATCAGGTTGTTCTGCTGCCGTACACTTACTAACATCGACTGCTAGATCATTGAGTATTAAAGACATGCATATCTGAGTCAGGGAGACTTCTCTCGCTATGCGTATGGTGGTGAGATGTTCTGACCAAATATTTGTCTCATTGTGGACTCACGAACAAGTTAAAAATGTCTCATTGTTTGATTGTGCGCAAGCTGTAGCTTCAAGTTCACTCAGCAGCCGAAAACGCTTTAGCTCTCATCTTGACTAAACTCGGATTCTTAATCGGCGAGATCTGTTTCTATTCTTAATTCCCAATTTGAGGAAGTTTTTTTCAAGTACTTCTACCAACATGCATTTTTATGCATGGGTAAGCAGACACCAAAGGGGGTACTTTCACTGAAAATGTTTTGATAGTATAATGGAGGTTCATGTCTAATGTATTTCGGTACATAACAAATGTATTTGATCCCGGATAATATTTATTCATTGACATGGTATATGTAGTTCTTCCAGATACTCTTTCGTTGCGTGGATCAGGAGAAGATACATTCAGAAGTTGAGGTATTATCTTCCCATTTTTATGATAATACATAAGACAGACAAGCGAATGATGAATTCATCTAAAAGAACAAATGCTATTACAATTTAAAAAAAATTATATACGGTATTAGAAGTCATAATGAGTAGGCAGGCAAGCTGGTTGATGTTGCGCATTTTTGAAAAACCGGAGACGGACGGACCACGAAAAAGGGGGCAACCGACAAAACGTTTTAGAGCCGTTCTTTGTGTTGTCCCCTTTTTCGTCATCCGTCGTCTCCAGTATGTTTTTAAATGTGTAACGTCAGAAGTCATTCATCGGTTTTTAATAGTTTGTCATAAACAATTCGTTCTTGCACATGAACATCGACCATTCGGGAACTATGAGCAGCTAATCTTTTTCAAACTAATATTCATGACAAAAAGTGTGTAGTCTATATGATGCGACAATCAAGCATCTAAATTTAAAATAACTACTTTTTTAATTCGCACCTTTTCCCTTTGAATTATCTGGCGAATCGCAGTTTTAACCAAGAGTTTGTATATTTGGCGAGGAAATTTTGGCGCAAGAATATCGCTTAAACAAGAACGACAGGCAAAGCAAACCTAATCGGGAACAACACTCA